TTCGATGCCACTGTGCAAGAGTTAGATGCGAAGCCGCTAATCAGGTATCTATTTTCCTAACATCGTTTATCATTTGAACCTTGTAAGTAGGTAAAACATTTCACAGACGGCTTGTGCGTCTGCTAAGACAAATCAAGGTGCTTCCTAAGACTTATTGATTTTGCATTTAGCTGTCGTACGCGCATATGGTACGGCATCGACCAGGCTTTATAAGATTCTGGACGCTACGCTGTTTCGGCCAAACTTTGGCCGACGGCTGACGTACCGACCGACCAGGTAGCAAACAGATACCACCGAATTCACAAGGTCCTGAAAATCCGAGTTCCGGAACGTACAGATTCTTAGGCAAAGATTTCACTCACTGGCCAAGAGGACAAACACTCGCGAAAGTTCCGTTTATACCATATCCTTGTTAGTCGCGAAATTGCCTTCGCCAGAAAAGAATGGGTGGCAGAGTGCTTAAGAAGTTAACTTCTAACTCCGGCAGTACCGCATTCGATTCCGGTACTTTATCTTAAACACGAATTCCTTTGAGCAAGGAATTTACCACACGTTGCTTCAGACCAGAGTTGCTCAGTCGGCAAAGCGTTGTTCTCAGAACCGAGAGGTCTGAGGTTCGAAAGCCTTGCTCTGGGTCACTCGCCTTTATGCATTTCGAGGTTGATAAGTGAGTGCCGGTCTGATGGAGTTAAATAGGAGTATGCACATTTGCTTGTCACGCATCTGCTGTCGGCTCTTCCTTTAAACCAAGGCAGCACTCTTGACTGATTACATGTAATTGTGAAAGATCAGTGTCCCCACAATTAACTTCATTTCTAGAAGGGTGCCAGTGACGACCTCATTATGAAAATGTAAGGAGGAACGACACTCAGACGGCTACAGATTTTCTCTCTTTCCCTTCACCAGAAACGATTAGGAAGGACTTCCTCTCCACCCCCCGCGAGACCGCTACTCACGTATCCGCTGGATGAGTTACAGGATAGATAGTGTACGCCATGCACGTGAGGTGTATTATCATTGTTACGAGCGCACCAAACAGCGATATATAACCGCTGTTGAATGATGACTAATTGACTGATATATTTTAGAAGCCGGGCTGAGTTTCATGTAAATGCCCATGAAATAATCTGTCAGAGAAATCAA